GTCACAGAGCTTATCCTAGAACTTCCTCTTACTTATATCCACTTTAAGTTCCTGGGTGGTATTCTCAGTTACTTAGTTTTAAGCAATACATGCAAGCTGAAAAGCCCAATTTTATGCTTTCTGCCCCAAACCTCACCATTCACCTCAGGGCACTGATAGTTGAGTCCCTATTCAACTGCTCCCCTTGTGTGTTTAATGGATAATTCACACTTGACATATCCAATCCAAACACAGTGTCCTAATCACAACTACTTCATGTATAGTCTTTTCCAGCTCATTGAATGGAAACAGGTCCAATCTGTTTTCAGATACTCAAGGTATAGCACATGCTTCATTCATGACCCCTTTCCTTTTTTCTCAGACCATGTTCTCACATTAGAGTCTTGCTAACACTGACTTCAAAGTATTCCAAAGTCCAATCTCTTATCACCATTGCCACACTTTACCTTAGTCCAGACCACCATATCTCTTACCTGTAGGATTTTGAGTCTCCCTTTTTTTGCTCATAATTTTTGTATTTCATCTATCTGCCAAATTGAGACTACTAAAGTATAATCAGAGCATGTTACTCATATGATCTTGCTTCTTGATAAAGAAGGGACAGGCTTACTTAACAAAAACCTGGGTGATTTGAGCCCTCTTAAAACATGCTTTGTAATATAGCATTGGTCAATATTTTCTTCATTATCTACCCCAAACCACCAACTAAGGAGTCTTTACAGACACATTATCACCATGAAAATTCAAAACCAAAAATATCTTATCTATCTCTTTTGGTACTATATGTGTATCTGTGCTTTTTACATAAAATGAGCAAGATTTTTTCACTACCAACATCACAGGAATACAATTATAAGAAATATTATTACAAAATATAGACCAAGAAAAGGGACAACCTGAAATGGATAAATTTCCCAAAACAGGAAGAAATGGGTAAGAACCATGTGGTCCTTTCAATAGATGCAGAAAAAGCATTTGACCTTGAGCAACATCAATTCACGATTAAAAAAACCAAAAACCAAAAAACAAAAAACCTCAATAATGCAGGGATAGAGGGAACATACTTAAAAGTAATAAAGACCACATATGAACCATGCTCAGCTAATACCATCCTCAATAGCGAAAAACTGAGAACTTTGCCTCTACATCGAGGAACAAGACAGGGATGTCCACTGTCACCTTTGTTATTTAACATAGTACTGGTGGTCCTGGCCTCAACAGTCAGACAACATAAGGAAAGAAAAGGCATCCAAATCAGCAGGGAAGAAGTCAAACTTTCACTATTTGCAGATGACATGATACTCTATAAAGAAACCAAAAAGAGGGGCACCTGGGTGGCTCAGTGGGTTAAGCCTCTGCCTTCGGCTCAGGTCATGATCTCAGGGTCCTGGGATCGAGCCCCGCATCTGGGCTCTCTTCTCAGCAGGGAGCCTGCTTCCCCCTCTCACTCTGCCTGCCTCTCTGCCTACTTGTGATCTCTCTCCCTGTCAAATAAATAAATAAAATCTTAAAAAACAAAAAAAGAAAGAAAGAAAACCAAAAAGACTGTACGAAAAAATTACTACAACTGACCTAGGGCTTCAGTAAAGTCACAGAGTATAAAATCAAATGTACAGAAATCTGTTGCATTTCTGTAGTGCAGTAATGAAGCAGTAGAAAGAAAAATCAAGGAATCAACCCCATTTACCACTGCACCAAAATCATGAGCTACCTAGGAATAAAATTAACCAAAGAGGTAAAAGATCTGTGCTCTGAATACTATAAAACACTAATGAAAGAACTTGAGGAGGACACAAAGAAATGGAAAAATATTCTATGCTCATAGATTGGAAAAATAAACATCAACTAAGTGCAATAAGCAAAAGGCAATAAAAGGGCATATGCCATCCCCAAGAGTAGGATTGCTGAATCATGATAAATTTTTTTGTCTTTAGTAATGATGTGTAAACATTACCCCATTTCTTGATACAAGAGGAAGAATGATGAAAAGAATTTGATGCAAACTAGATAATTAGTATTAAACTATTATTTTTTGATGTTCATATGTCAGTAACTTGGGCTTTAAAAGTCTACCTTTCCTGCCATCCCCCCAATCTTTTTTTTTTTTTTTTTGGTTAAGAGCAATGCTTAAAAATTACCTTGTTCTCCCCCTACATTGTGAGAATTGAGTTCTTGTCATTTGCAACAAATATTCCTATTAAACAAGAGACAACTTGTTTATGATTGGAGGATGAATCAATGAGTAATGACATATGACATATGACATGAATAATGTCATAAGTAGTTATTTAATATTGTAACCTCTGCCATGGTGATATAGTTCAATATTGTCTAATGTTTTAACACTCCCAGAGACATTTATTTTTATCATGTGAAATTTAAATGACTTATTTATGAATAATAAAATTGAATGTAGGAATCTTAAGAACTAAGGTAGAGAAATTGAGAAAAGTTTAGGAATCAGAGAGGGAGAAAAACCATGAGAGACTATGGACTCTGGAAAAGAAACTGAGGGTTTCTGAAGGGTGGGGGTGGGAAATGGGGTAGCTGGGTGATGGGTACTGAGGAGGGCGCGTGTTGTGATGAGCACTGGGTGCTGTATGCAACTAATGAATCATTATCAAAATCATATATCAAAAACTAATGGCTAACTGAATGTAAAAAAAAATTAGGAACTGATGACAGTCACAATTGTTACCATAAAGTTGACAATGTAGCAATTTTCAGAATAGAGACAAATATCATTTAATACTTATTTTTAATGGGATAACATTTTCAGATTTTTGCCATTATAATAGAAATGACACAGGCAAGTATAAGGGAAAGAAGTATGTAATGCCAAGACTTAGCAACCCGTGTAAAATTAGAACTTACATATCTAAGATACTATTAGAAGACCTAAATTTTCAGATCTCAGCATTTGTGACTGAGAAAAAAGCAAGGTAACAGCACGGGTGGTCAAGCCTCTGACCCCAGTATCTTGTGGAACATAAACATTTCTCAGAGTCACGTTGCAATTAACTGACACACCACAAGCTGAAAGTCCCGGACATTCTGGAGGTATGTGATGAGATAGTGTCTTCAAAACAGCCCAAGTGTAAGGATTTCCTGTTCAAATTTTAAGTCACACATTGATGAAGAATTTACCTTTTCTACTATTGCTTCACTTTGAACACTTTGAGAGCTGGCGGTCTGGGAAGACCGCAGATACTATCTGTTTACAAGAGTAACCTGGTCTCCCACTGAAGATGCATGACTTTCTGCCCAATAGAAGGTATGTGTCACTCCTCCACTGTCTCTCTCCTAGCCACTTCATTTAGTGTGAGATTACAGATGCTGGGTGGGATACACCTGAGGTACAACTAATACACAGTGAAATCACAGAGAACACTGATTATCCCTATTCCAACAGTTCCGGGTCACAAACAGGAGTAAATATGAAGTATGTCAGAGAATTTCTTGAAGTATTCAAATTCTTGTCTGTGGAGAAGTAATCAAATATACACACACACATATAATAAGGATTTATAAATCAATATAATTTCAAGTGAAATCTTATAAGCATCATGCATGACAAGGGACAGTTAATTTGGATCTGACATCATATAATTACACGTTTTTGATATTTAGCCCAGCCTTTAAAAATAGTTTTTAAAATACAATCTTGCAAGCATGAAGATCAAATGTAATTCCTCATATACTTTCTTAGTTAAATAAAACCAGTTTAATTTTTCATATCAGGATGAGGGAACTTCCATAATATGCTAATTTAAACTTACCTATAAACAATGATAAGATTTCTAAAACATTTGAACAAAACTTTCCAAAAAGTTTTACCACACTGATGAAACACTCCTGTGAATCGTGTTTCATGGTCTAACTAATATGAATCAGAAACAGTAATATGGTATTGTGCTAAAAATATAATTAAAACAAGACTTATAAAAATCTGATTGATCTAGGTGTTTTACACGCATCATAGATTACATATTTTTATTCCCATTATAGATTAGTAAACTAGATAGCTAGACATGAAATAACGTTTAAAAGATCACACACTGTAACTTTGAGAGCCAGAAGTGATTCTAGAGCTCACGGACTGTGGAGTTAATTGTGTGAATTATTAAATTTAAATTAAATATTAAAATTATATTAAATATTAAATAAGTATTTAAAATTAAATTAAATATTAAATTTGATTTATTACAATTGATTACACAATAAAGCTACCTTCACTGCCCTTGACAGCCATAGATTGTTTCCGAGTTCACAACAACACTATTCTCCCATAAATGATCTTTACTTTTATTTATCATTTTACAGTTTCATATGTTGGCCATTATCAGTTACCATTTTCTGGTGTCAAATAAGGAGTTTTAGAAATCTTTTCTGTCATTTTGTTTTGTTTTCAGTATTGTTTATGTTTTGGATAAGTTTAGCATATCATGTAGCATTTTTCACCAGATTCAATATTTCTTCAAAATTTAATGATTTCCAGAATTCCACAATTATTCAAAATAAAAATTCATTTGATAATACCTCAACCCTTTTATTGAATAAATATAAGTCACCAAATAAAAGTAATTCACTTCAGGAATTTCTTGAATACACTAACACTATTATTCCCCCAACTTTAGAACATTCAATCTTTAACCATCCATGGATTTTAAAATTTACCATAGAAAATTAGTCTCATTGTTTCCTAATAACAACATTTTAGTTTTGACCCAGTTATTCTAGCAGTGTCAAAATGTGTTATGGAATCTGATTTTAGGTTAATAAGGGACTCATTCGTTACAAGTATCTTTATTCCTCACTAATTTATTGCTTTTCATTGCTACAACCAATAATATCGCATCAAACATAGATTATAATTTTAAAAATCACTTATTCTCTGATGAAACACTTTTATTTCAAGCTCTGAGGAAATCAGAACCAGGATTTTACATCATTCAACTACAAAGGAGTGTTACCACTTACCTCCACCCAGCCCCGCTCTTGTCATTACCTACACCGTTTGTCAACTACATCAGTCCAGTTTCCATACAGCACAGGCCCTGAGATCTCTCAGTTGCTGAGATGAATAACCAGAGAGAAAACCTCTCAGATCCAAATCTGGTTAAGAACTCAAGAAGACAACAGTCAAAAGGTAAGTGCACTAAAAGCTCTAATTCAGTAACTGAGTAGGAAATCATTTGTGCAGAATTAAATCTTCAAAATGCTTCTGAAGACCTACTAGGGAATGACAAGAACTACCACTGCAAAAATAAAGCACACAGTAAGGCACACATTACAACTGCTCTAGGATGTGAACTTGGGGTTCAGATGTGTGGGGAAGACTAGGGAATGATTTCATATATTTTTCATTTGTGAGGATCAGAACTTGAAGCTGGAATAAGGTAATGTTATTTTTGAGATCTGAGGAATAATTTACTCCGGCATTGTTGTAAATCATAGTCCTTGACCAACAACTCATGGAGCATGACGCTTACTGACAGTTAAATGGTATATTGTGAGGAAGATTACAATGGTAGATATGGGTTTGTGGTCCATGTTTATACCTATGATTCCCTGTGCATCTTTGGTTCTCTTGTATGTAAACTGTCTAAACTTTAGTCTTTATCCATCCATCCTTTCTCACTGTTTCATTCTCTCCCTACATATCTGCCATTATCTCTAGAGAAGCTCATTGCTGGGAGTTTGGGAATCATCTGCTTTGTCTTGATGTACATTGTAGCAAGAATGATAACTTCTCTTCCCTGTGAGTAAAACTTTGAATGATTGTAAGAGGTCTTTTCATTTGAATGATCATCAGTGCCTCTAAACATTTCAAGTACCATTAATGGAACTTTATTTTTCATGTATGCATTTAGACTAAGTGTGAAGTACTTATTCTGAATTTCTCAAAAGTATAAATAACAATGATTGTAGAAAAAAAAATATATATATAATTGAGAAACATGGATTAATTCTTGAGATTGGTTAAACCAAATACTGTAAGAAGTGGTGAGTTTTGGTTCTATAAGCCTTTTAATTATTTTCTGCAACAGGGTCATTCCTTCATTAACTACTTACTGTAAAATCAAATTTATTACAGAATTTTCTAATTCTAAACAATACACCAAAATTCAAACTAAGAAACTCAAATCGTTGTGATTTATTTAGTTTAATATTAAGTTTGTATGAGGATTGCTTTAATTTTTCTAGTTACTGGTGGACCAGAGCAGAACAAAATATCTCTTGAAACAAGGATCCAGAAAGGTACATCATCATTTTCAAAATCTGATATTAGTATAGTTTTTATTTTATCTCTATCATAGGTTAGACAAATATGATAACAGAATTTTTCTTTATGTTATCAATTAGTCACCATACAGTACATCATTAGTTTTTGATGTAGTGTTCCATGACTAATTGCTTGCATATAACACCCGTGCTCCATGCGATCCGTGTCCTCCTTAATACCCATCCGTGGGCTAGCACATCCCCCTACTACCCTCCCCTCTAAACCCTCAGTTTGTTTCCCAGAGTCCATAGTCTCTCATGGTTCATCTCCTCCTCTGATTTGCCCCCCTTCATTTTTCCCTTCCTTCTCCTAGTGTCCTCCATGCTATTTCTTATGTTCCACAAATAAGTGAATCCATATGATAATTGACTTTCTCTGCTTGACTTGTTTCCCTTAGCACAATCTCCTCCAGTTCCATCAATGTTGATGCAAAAGTTGGATATTTGTCCTTTCTGATGGCTGGGTAATATTCAGCCATATACATATTACATTGTGTATATGGATCATATCTTCTTTATCCATTTGTCTGCTGAAGGTCCTCTCACCTCCTTCCACCATTTTGCTATTGTGGATATTGCTGTTATGATAGATGTTCTTGGGGAAAATAGATTAGAAAATCATGTAATAAACTTAGAAATCATGATTATAGGAGAATACGACTTCTTATGAAACAGTATAAGGAAATACTCATTTAAAATCACCATACCCATGGGATGCCTGTGTGGCTCAATCAGTTAAGTGTCTGCCTTCAGCTCTAGCCATGATTCCAGGGTCCTAGGATTGAGTCCTGCATCACTCCCTCCTCTGCTCCCCCTGCTTGTGCTCTTTATCTGTCTCTATCTGACAAATAAATAAATAAAATCTTTAAAACTATTTCATAAAATCACCATACCCATAGTCATCAATTGTCTCAAATTTCCTCCTGTTATAAGATGCTAAGAGATGGGCGCCTGGATGGCTCAGTGGGTTAAAGCCTCTGACTTTGGCTCGGGTCATGATCCCGGGGTCCTGGGATGGAGCCTCACATTGGGCCTCTCTGCTCAGCAGGGAGCCTGCTTCCTCCTCTCTCTCTGCCTGCCTCTCTGCCTACTTGTGATCTTTGTCTGTCAAATAAATAAATAAATCTTAAAAAAAAAAAAAGACACTAAGAGATAAGTCACTTTACAATGCCAAAAAAGTGATTTTGTTCAGTGACACAAAGGACATGTAGAGATGGACATTTTTGTGTGTTTGCTTTATATGGGCACATAAATTAGGGTATGAAAGTATGACTCTTCTTTGAGTGTTTTTGTGTTTTGTTTCATTTTTATCAGCTTGTGAGGTGCATTGATAAGTTATATACACGTGAAAACATATGCAAGTTGTAAATTTTCAATTTTTAAAATTCGAAACTTTTTGGATAATATCTCAAAACCTTTGTCCAGCATATTACTGTAGCCATTGTCCAAAAGAGTGGATGGCATATTCCAACAATTGCTATTACATTAGCACTGAAAGAAAATCATGGAGTGAGTTTGTCAGCCTGTGCTTCTAAGAACTCTACCCTATTCTCCATAGAGGATGAAGAAGAATTGGTAAGATTTCAGTTGCTTCCAGATTTTATTAAAAGCTTATCAATTAATATTATATTTTTAGAGTTCATCCATCTTTGTGTACATATTTCTAGTTTATTTAAAGGCTGTTACTATTCCATAGTTTGACTACAATATTGTATTTATATTTTTATACCTTTATTATACCTTTAACAATTATCAGTTCTTGTTTTTCATAGAAAATCCTCCTTCTATGAATGCTCTTTTACCTGAAATAACTTTACTATTTAATTTTACACACATCAAAGAAACTAAACATATGATTGTACAACTTGATCACAAAGTAGTTAGAACCACGTAATTACAAATCAGGCATGAAGTAAAAGTTTCGAGTCTCTTCTACCCATTTTAACAATTATGAAATACCTTTGCTTGTTTTTAGACTTTATATCAATGGAATCATGCAGTGTGCATTTTTATGTGAGTCACCTTTCACTCTCACATGATATTGTGGTCCATATATATTATCACATTTGTATATAGTTTGTGAATTTTCACTGCTGCTGTCTTAAATGAATATGACCTTGAAAATCTATTCTTAGAAATTTAGTTCCTTTTTAGTATGTGGGAATTATGAATAATTATTTTATGAAAAGACATTTCTATGTCTTTAAAAATTATTTATTTATTTATTTATTTATTTATTTATTTATCTGAGAGAGACCATAGGGAGGAGCAGATGGAGAGGGAGAGCCAGAGAATCTCAAGCAAACTCTGTGCTGAGCACAGAGCCCAACTTGGGGCTGGATCTCAGGATCCTGAGCTCATGACCTGAGCTGAAAACAAGAGCCAGATGGAGACACGCAGGCACCCCAACCTTTATATGTCTTTCCCACAAGCCGTATTTATACTAATTTATTATACATAACCACATAGAATATAGTATATTATATTTATGGAATGTAAGTATTGTACTTGTAATAAAATAATAATGTATAATATAACATTATGATTGTGTTTACATATAATTATAATACTGTTTCTTCTAACCATTAGTATAAAATTACATGGTCAATTTTATTTTTTTCTTTTAATGTATTTAATTATCTCTATACTTTTCTAGTGTATTGTGTAAATACACATTGTACAGCATAATCTTGTTATCCAAAACTCAATGGTGTTAGAAAAATTAATACAATAACTTCTGGTGCTTATGCAATAGTATCTTTTTTTGTTCTGTGAATCATTTGGATATTCTCTGTGAGGATGAGAAGTGCTTGAGTGTGTCTCTTCATTTCTTTTAGGTAGTGCTTTCTTTTCCTTTCTTAGACATTGTCATATTTTAGATATGAGAGTTTTTGGAGACGGACATTGCTGTGACTTGCATTTGTACTCCCCTGTTGGAGTCGTTTAATGATCAGAATTTCAATGTTATCATGGTCCAATTTATCATTTTGGATGTTAGTGATTATTTTGGACCTATTTCAGGAATATAATTTCCTATTTTACTTCCAAGATTTACCTTTTTCTTTATTTCTTTATTTTTTACTTTTAATTAGGGTTTATGATCCACTTGGAATTTATATTTTGTGACACTGTGCTTACGATGCTATGGGATGGTGTTAACAATGGCAGTCCAGAATATTCATTTTGTCATTCATACGATGATGACACTTGAAAACTCAGCCAGCTCTTGGCATGTATCCCATGAGCATTCATCTGTATATACATTATACTACAGTAAAATTACCACAAGAAAATACTATGAAAATATGCAAATAGGTTTAAAGCTAGACATAAAATTGAAAACATCCTACCAAATATAACTTGTGATTTTTATTTGCATTTATCGGATCATTAGGGATACTGAGCATCTTTTCATAAGAATTTTCCCCATTTATTTTCTTGGACAAAATGCTTATTCAATTCTTTTGCCCATTCTTTAATTGCCTTATTTGGATTTGTTGTTGTTACTGACCTGTAGGATTCCTTATATATTTTGGATATGAACCCCTTGTCTGATGTATGATTTGTAAGCATTTTTCCCCATTCTGTCTTTTCATTCTGTTGATCAGGCCTTTTGGTGCACAAAAATGTTTTGATGTGCTACATTTGCCTACAGTGAACTTTTCCTTTGTGGTCTGTGATTTTGGTGGCATACCCAAGAAATCATTGCCGAATATGATGTTTATTTTCCCCATATTCTCTTCAAGGAATTTTATAGTTTTACATCTTATGATTAGGTCTTTCCTCCATTTTGAGTTAACCTTTGTATATGGTGTAAGTCTTTGTCTCCACCTTCATTCTTTTGCATAGGGATAATCAGTTTCCCATGACTATTTATGAAAGATCCTGTCCTTTCCCTGTTGGCATCCTTATCAAAATGAAAATACATGGACTATGTGTCTGGATATATTTTGAAGTTTGGTCCCATAAAGGATATAGGACCTGGGGCTTTGTGTTCCTTTGTCTGGCTGATTTTACCCACTCCCATCTGAAATAGTGTGCAGGCCAGATACAGATTCTGTGGTAGATGATGTGGTCTAAGGCTGTGGGAGGTGGAGGATATTATCATCCATTCCCTGATGTTCACACTGACTTAAGTCACCTCATAATCTACCCTGTTCCCTCAAGAGCATTTCTTTTTGTCTGTGTTTGCAAATGATTTTTGGTGGTATCATTATGACACTTTGAGATGTGGATTTGTATGTAATCATCCTATTAGTAGTTTCCTAGCCTGTGGTGTCCATCAATATTTTTAAATGATATTTAATAAATATTTGTTCATCGTGACTTAAGATTGTTGTTCTGCTTTTTTGTCAGTTTGTACTTAGACCTATGTTGGATTTCCTGAAGCTGTTTTGAAGACTTATGAACTCTATTAATTTTTCTCTCTTTTTTTTCTCTCTCTCATCTTATAGGATGAATAACTTATTTTACTCCTTCCTCAATTTCACCAACTTTTTCTTCTGCATATCACATAATCTGTAGAGCTAATAAGTGAATTTTTCATTTCAAGTATATATTCATAAACTCAGAATCTTCTGAGGTTTATTCATAGAGTTTTATTATTTTATTAATATTTCCTACTTGCTATATTGCTTCCATCATATCTTCACTTAACTATTTGAACATTGTTTTCTTTATAGTTTACATATATTTATAAATATTACTTTAAAATACTTTTTTCTAACAAATGTGACATCTTATCCCAGTAGAAATTTCTATTGGCCTATGCTTTCTCATAGCATGGAAGATATTTTCCAGTTTTTTGTGTGTATTAATTCCCTTTAAAGATATTTTTATTTTGTTTTAGAGACATTGCAAGAGAGAGAAAGAGACAGTGCGAGTGGGTGGAAGATTAGAGGGAGAGGGACAGAGAGAAACCCAAGCAGACTCCATGTTCTGCATCGAACTTGATGTGGGGATTGATCCCAGGAGCCTGAGATCACAATGAAGCCTGAGCCTGAGAGCCTGAGCCAAAATGAAGAGTTGGTTGCTTAACCGAATAAGCCATGCAGCTGCCCCATTTCTTAATTTTTTGGAAGACATTTTTGATAATACACCTTAGTGAACATTCATTCTATTTCATTTTTCTTAGATTTATTATTTTCTTGTAAGTTGAATAAACTTTACTGCAGAATCTTCTCCAAAGTTGGTCTCCTGATATTTTTGTTTAGTTTTTTCCAAATTCATATTGTTTATTTTTATTTTTTAACCTATCTTTCTGGGATGATCCTTGTGATTTTTTAGCTTAGATGTCAACCATCATTTTTTTAAAAGTCTGTATCCAGGGATGCCTGGGTGGTTCAGTTGGTTAAGCTGCTGCCTTTGGCTCAGGTCATGATCCCAGGGTTCTGGAATCAGGTCCCACATTGGGCTCCTTGCTCAACGGGGAGCCTGCTTCACTCTCTGCCTCTGCCTGCCTCTCTGCTTGCTTGTGCGCTCTCTCTCTCTCTCTCTCTCTGACCAATAAATAAATAAAATCTTTAAAAAATATATATTAAAGTCTGTATTCAAATACCGCAAGTCAGTAGGGCTTCCACCCTCTCTCAGGTGATGTGTGTGTGTGTATGTGTACACGCACATATGCACATGCACACATGAGTGTAGAAAGGGAGTCCTTATACCTTTATAGCAGTTCTTAAGTCTTCTTCACCTTTACTTCCTACTAGGATCATTTTGGTCTCCTCTCCCCATGCACATATTTTCTATCAGCCAAGAGTGTATAGAGAGCTCATGTCATCTCCTCAGTCACACTTTCCTTTATCGTACCTTCCCATTATATTTATTGTGGGGGAGGTCACAGTGCTGGACACAAAGCCACAACCTCAGACTAGTAAAAGTATATGTTTTTCTCATTCATTACCAAGCAAAATAATCACGTTGATCTGAAAAGTCAATGGGCTCTCTCACTCTTCCCCACTGCTAATCAAGTCCCCCCTGTGTCACCAACACCATTGCTTTCTGCAGCTTCTCCAAACTGTAAAAACTACAATTCGTCTTGATCACTAAGCTGAGGTGGGCTGGTGGGGAGCCACAAAGCAATCCCAGACAACAATAATCCTAAGCAACAAATATGATGCTTCTTACTTGAATCTCTAGGATTTTTTCCCACTGTAAATATTTCATGAATTATTAAGCTTTTATCAATTTTCAGAACCCTGAAATTGTTATCTTTGTAAGTTGTTGTCTTCCCTTACTCCTACTTGTAAGGTAGTTTTGTAACATGTCTAGTGTGTAACATTAAAATTTGAAAGATTCTATAAGGCAAGAATTAACTTTGTTACTGCAAAATTCAACTGAATATAAGAGATTTTATTTGACTTCTAATAAAATTTGTTTTCTCACAGCATTTGTTAGGCCTCTTAATTTCTTCTTCATGGCTTGGAGTCTCCCAGACAAGCAATAATAATCCATCTGTGCAGCCAAAACCCTCAACTTTCTCTTCCAAAATGTAAGTTTCTTAAGAACTTTCGTATTTTGTACCTTAAAAGAATTAATCTTACAATGAAAAACAGCAATATGTGAACAATTATATAAACACAATTGTTGAAATGTTTTCATAGTAAATTATATGGAAAATATTCTGATTGAGGTATATAACTATTAGTTGAACTAAATTGTTAACTCATCAAAATATTATGGTATATAAGGTATATATTGGTAAGATTAATGAGGTATAATTCTCTGTATTTTAGGTTGGCAGTATCATCAGAGAGTGACCGGGATTGTCCATATTTCAATTTTGGACTGGAGAAAGTTTTTTTTTTTTTTAAAGATTTTATTTATTTATTTGTCAGAGAGAGAGAGGGAAAGAGAGTGAGCACAGGCAGACAGAATGGCAGGCAGAGGCAGAGGGAGAAGCAGGCTCCCTGACGAGCAAGGAGCCTGATATGGGACTCGATCCCAGGATGCTGGGATCATGACCTGAGCCGAAGGCAGCTGCTTAACCAACTGAGCCACCCAGGTGTCCCTGGAGAAAGTTTTTTTTACATCTTGTTTAAAAATTAAAACATACACTTGTAAGCACCAGGCATTTTAGTTACCTAATTTTGGTATAATGCTATCCCACCATATATAAAGAACATGTTTCTCATTTCTCCAAAAGCCATGCAATTATTGTCTCAGAATATTTTTCAGATATAAGTTTTAGAGAAGTTTTATGTTCACAACAAAATTAAGAGGAAGTTACAGAGTTTTCCTCTATTGCCCCTGTCCACACACCTGCCTCTCCTCCATTTTTAATACCCCTCACTAGAATGGTTCTTTTATGACCAGAAATGAATCTACAACAATGTGTCATAATCATCCAAAATTTAGTTTATACATGAGGTTTCACCCTTGGTGTTGTTGGACTGTTTTTCAAGATTTATTTAAAGTAAAAAAATATATATACTAAGGTACATATTATACATTTATTAAGCTTTTGCTATTCACTAAAATAATTATACATATAAATTACAAATCATAATATTATTGTGAAGTTCCCAATATATTGAGTAATTGTGCTCATATTTCCAAATTAATTGATTTTTCCTTGCATTTATAGGGGTTGCAAATTAGAGTTAAACAACCCAAGATGGCAAGGTAATCAGTCAGAATTGAGTCAGGAGACAGAAACTAGAGGAAGTTTGATGCAAACAATTAGTTTCTATTTGTAAGGGAAAGTTTACTAAGAGGAAAGGCTACTAAGATAAAGAAAATAGTAAGAATACCTTAGGATTAAAGGAGAGTATCCAAAGGAGGGATTTCTGAGAAAGCTAGGTCTGCTCTCTGAGGATGAGATATAGATGTTATTGAAGACATGTAGCTATACATGGCTTCATGACAGGTATGCCTATGGTATTGGCTTGGGACAGAGCAGCTCCATAACCCTCAGACTGAAATTGGTGAGCATGGATCTCAGACTGTGACTGGCAGGCAGGAGGAATTCCCTGTCAGAGTCTTAGAAGTCCCTTCCCAAAGGATAGGAAACTTACTGGGACTAGCTACAAAAACCTGCTAGAGTCTGTTCAAATACATAGGACTTCCTGCATACATGCAGTTGGCAACCAGGCCATAGCCGAACACCTTGAAAAGACCATGAAACCAGGAGGTAGAGCCTCCTCTTTTCTCTTTTATTTTTTTGCTTATGTTCAATTCCCCAACATATTATATATCATTAGTTTTTGATGTAGTGTCCAATGATTCATTAGTTGCATATAACACACAGTGCTCATCACATCACATGCCCTTTCTGATGCAGTGTCTTTCCATTGTCTTTTACTGACAAAACTCAACTTCATGAGAACTGACAGGGGAGAAAAGTTTATAGCACTTAGCTCCATTATCTGAGAACAGGGCACAGAGGGATGGGTAGATTTAGAGCTGAGAGTACTAAATTGTTAACAGGCACTCAGGGTTATTACGCAACAACCACAGTGCTGCTTTTTAAGAGCCATTCACATATGCCCCACATCCTCAGAGAATGGAACCAAAGTAAATTATGTGAATCTCTTTTAGTGCAACACTGTCAAGGTTAAGTGCTTTTTTTTTTTTTTTTTTTTTTTTTTGGTAGTGGTTGGTTTCTCATTGGATAAACCACTGTCCTTTCATACTTTTTCCCGTGTTGTTGCCCTCAGCTGGATTTCAGATATATTGGAAGAGATTTTTTTTTCAATTCTCCATGTACCCACTTCTGTCACTCCTTAGTAGCATGCTAAAAAATACCATGATTCAAAAATTAAAATGTTAAATAGTAAAGAAAACAAGATTTAAAAGTATAAAATATTTGTATGGGTAAAGCAGCTAGTTATTGCCAGAATTCAGGAAAAAAGTTTACTAATTTGATGTTTCAGAGGTATTTCTACCCTAATTCAATTATAAAGTACAAGAGATTACTGGATTATTATTTTTAAAATAATTTCATATTTCATATACATTTATCTTTTTTAATATAGACACAGTCTATATTCTCTGTCCTTATTCCTTATATAGAGAAATTAAATGACTATTCAAAATCAATTTCATATAATATGTAAATTGTAGCTATAACTAATTGCTAAAGTTGTGTAACAAACAACCCTAGTCTGCACTGACATTTAAAAATAAATATTTAGGGGCGCCTGGTTGGCTCAGTGGGTTGAGCAGCTACGTTCGGCTCAGGTCATGACCCCAGTGTTCTAGGATCAAGTCCCACATTGGGCTCCTTGCTCAGCAGGGAGCCTGCTTATCCCTCCGCCTCTGCCTGCTGCTCTGTCTGTCCTTGCGCACACTCTCTCTCTCTCTCTCTCTCTCTAACAAATAAATAAATAAAATCTTAAAAAAATAAATATTTATTGGGGCGTCTGGGTGGCTCAGTGGGTTAAGCCTCTGCCTTCAGTTCAGGTTGTGACTCGGGGTCCTGGGATCGAGTTCCACATTGGACCCTCTGCTCAGCAGGGATCCTGTTCTTCCTCTCTTTCTGCCTGCCTCTCTGCCTGCTTGTGATCTCTCTCTGTCAAATAAATAAATAAAATTTCTAAAAATATAAAAAATAAAAATAAGTATTTATTTCTCATTCATTAGTTTGTGATTTGGCTGAGTTTTAGTTGATCAAGGCTAGATACGTAAGGACTTGACTCTAGACTACAGATTCAGCTCACATCTTTTTTTTTTTTAATTCTTAGAGGAGTGGGCTAGCTGATATATGACCTTTTATGGCAGAGATTAGCATCAAGGAGAAACTTCATCTTAATACCTGGACTCTGAACTCATAAGCGATCACATCCTATTCATACCATATTGTGAAAGCAAGTCACATGGCCAAACTTACCATTGATTGTCTGGATCATATGTCTTCTCAAGGTGGTCAGATTGAAGAAATGAAGGTTCACTGAAAAACAACCTAATCTATCATAAAAGCCCTGGGAATATTTTTTTTCTCATTATATTTCACGAGATACGTTAGTTGGCTAAAGAAAAATATTGGGAAATAGATGAAAAAAAATTAGTAGTGTCTTAACTTCCTATCCAGTTTTTTGTGTTCTCTGTGCCAAAAATTTGTGCTAAGTAGTTTTGCACAGTGATAAACATCATCATACAGATGTTTTCATGGAAGTTCTTGATCAATTTACAAATGGGAATAAGCAGTACAGTATAAGGTTTAAGGACATTGGCAATGAAACCAGGTCATTTCAATGTATTTTCTATATGTACTACCTTAGCCCCATGCCTCAGCTGCATAACTGCTCTGGCTCAGTTTCTTATCCTGGAAAATATGATAGAAATAGATTCTTATTCACAGACTTACTTGAAGATTATTTAAAAAGTACCTCTGTTGACACACAATTATTCACTAGAGCCCAGTTGTTTTGACTTAAGAACTTGATGCTTCTGTGCCATCACCTATGACATCATGATCATAATTGTAGCCATCTCATAGGGCTGATCTGAGGAATCAATACTATAAGGCCCAAAGTTCCTTAAAATAAATCTTAACCACCAGAAGTTCTTGCTAAATATCTCTTCATATTTTACTTTTCCAAATATTCAATAAAAGCTGCTTTCCAAGAAAATCCATGTTCTATAATTATTTTCTTCCTTTTACCCAATGAAATAGTCAGTCATCTGACTTAAACTCTTCAATCATCAAAGATGTTTGCATTTTAAAAGTTTTTTGAGAAATTTAACATACCTCATTTATGGACACTAAAGTAATTTTTTTTTCTGCAGATATATTTCTTTTTTTGAAATCAAGTCACAATCCCTGTTCTTTCTCTTATTGGTAAAGAACCCTAGTCTTCTCACCCAGTGTGTTATATGGACATATGTAAATGTTGTCTGTTTTGGAATTGAAGAAATTTAAAAGGGATTGTCAAGGTTTGACAAGATAACCTGTTTGGTTCCAAGATTTCGGGAAACTACATGGGCCTAGAGGAAGAAGATACTGAAATGCCCTCTTCTTTCCAATGTTGGAGAATCCCATCCACACATAATGCTTCTCTTACCATTGAGAATGGTAAAAAGTAAGAGAGAAGGTGCTTAATACATTCTGATATGGAACACTCCCAATTTTCTCCCAAAGTATTTTACATATCTAAACATGTTCATTGAAAAAAAGTGTCAAATTCTTACATGTACCCATAAGAAATCATTGGAATTATTTGGTAGAGTAAGCTTGGGTTAAGAGACCCACAAAAAACACTGGAGATATAAAAATATGGAACAATATTAGGACGTAGTTAATCAAGAGTGAATTCACAATAGAAAGAGCCATGCTGAAAATCAGGGATATAAAGATCACAATAGCATTTTTTTTTCTCTGTGTTTATCTTTCTGAGATGATACATTAGGTATTGAACATAATAGACTTGTTATTTTGGATTCCAGAGTTAAAAGGTACTCATTTCAGTATAAATTCAGAGGAAGATGGTGCCCTTTTAAAATGCACTGTTGTTGGAGCAGATCCGAAAGTGTATTCTCTGCAGGTAGCCAGTCCAAGCAGGATGCAGGAAGGACTGAGTTGTGTCTGTCTAACCTCATGTACCAAATTTGGGAATCTGCAAATTTTGTTTCCTGATAATTGAATATAAAGTTGGGAAGGAAGTCAGAGATTAGCACTAAAAAGTTGCTCTGCCCTATGTTTTATGAGGCTCATCCCTTAATTACAACCATTATTCCCCCTAAGGAACATATAACAATTTAGCTTGTATACCCCCAAATGGTCTGGATTTGATAAGAACAATAATGCAATCTGAGAGGGGAATAAAAATAATTTTTACAAGAGATCAATGTGATAACATCAAAAGTTGTGGCACGTGTAATTAAGATCTTACAAGGAGAGGGAGATGTTTGGCAGAAAATTATTTGAACAAATAATGGTGGAAACTATTTCAAGCTTGTTAAAAAGGAAGTTAAATTCAAGAAGTCCACCAAAATCCCAATAACATAAATATAAACTTAGTCACAAGTGGGTACATTGTAGTCACGCTTCTGAAAGAGGCAAAAAGAGAATCTTGAGAGCAATGAAAAAATAACAACACTTCATATGCCAAGAAAGTCATTATAAGTAGTAAAATTTACAAGATAATAGATCATTCACCTTGAGGAGAAGAAACTGCAGACCCAGAACTTGATGGCATTGATAG